CCTTCTCTAGGAACTAGTCCTTTCTGACAGTATGACCAAAGTATGAGAAATGAAGTCTGCCATTCTCACCTCTAAGGAACATTCTGGCTCTACTTCCTCCAAGATAAATTTGTTCTTTCTTTTAGTACTGCATGGTACATTCAATATTCTTTGCCAACACCACAACTCAAATGCACCAATTCTTCTTTAGTCTTCTTTATTCATTGGCCAGTTCTCATATGCATATGAGGCTATGAAACATACCATGGCTTCAGTCAGGTGCACCTGAGTCTTCAAAGTGGGATCTTTGCTCTTTAACACTTTGAAGAGGTTTTGAGGCAGATTTGCCCAATGCATATGTCATGTGATTTCTTGACTGGTGCCTCCATGGGTGTTGATTGTGGATCCAAGTAAAATGAAATCCTTGACAACTTCATTCTTTTCTTCATTTACCATGATGCTCCTTATTGGTCAAGTTGTCAGGATTTTTGTTTTTTTTTCTGTTGAAGTATAATCCATACTGAATGCTGTCTTTGATCTTCATCAGTAAGTTCTTCAAATCTTCTTTACTTTCAGCTAGCAAGGTTGTATCATCTGCATATCATAGATTGTTAATCAGTCTTCCTTCAGTTCTGATGCTGTGTTCTCCTTCATATAGTCCAGCTTCTTGGATTATTTGCTCAGCATACAGATTGAGTAAGTACGATGAAAGGATACAACCCTAATGCACACATTTCCTGATTTTAACCCATTTAGTATCCCCTTGTTCTATCTGAACAACTGCCTCTTGGTCTATGTACAGGTTCCTAATGAGCTAAGTAAGTGTTCTGAAATTCCCATTCTTCTCAGTGTTATCCATAATTTGTTTCGATGTACATAGTCGGATGCCTTTGCATGGTCAATAAAACACAAGTAAACATCTTCCCGGTACTCTCTGCTCTCAGGCAAGATGCATCTGACATCAGCAATGATGTCCCTCATTTCATATCCTCATCTGAATCCAGCTTGAATTTCTGGCAGTTCCCTGTTGATGTACTGCTACCACTAGTAGCTGGTTAGACAGCCTCTAAAGATCTTTTTTCTATAAATTATGCCCCTATAGCTCAAGATTATGTAAAATACAGACTAAAATCTGAATAAACTTAAGTGTTACTTTATTAGCAGTTATTTATTCTTTCATACCTATTCTTTTCATAATCCCTGGATGGCACAAACAGTTAAGTTTCTCTAATACCAGTTCAAACCCACCTAGAGGTGCCCTGGAAGGTCACAGCCTTGAAAACCCTATGGAGGGCAGTTCTACTGTGCACACAAGGTTTCTGTGACTCGGAATCAACTTAACAGCAATTCTTTCATAGGAGTCCCTGGGTGGTGCAACTGGTAAAACTAACCAAAAGCTTAGAACTTTGAGTCCACCCAGAGGATCCTTGGAACGAAGGCCTGGCAATATACTTGCAAAACACTGGAAACCATATGGAACAGTTATACACTGACCACATAGGGTCACACCATGAGTCAGTCAAGTCAATGGCAACTGGTTTGTTTATTTATTTATTTTTGAACTTTTTATTGTGATTTGGGTGAGCAAATTAGTTTTCCATTCAACAATTTACACACATTTTGTTTCATGACATTCCTGCAATCCCTTCAATGTAATGCACTCTTCCCACTTCCCTGGGTTCCCCATTTCCATTCATCCTACTCTCCGCCCCTTCCTGCCTTTTGAGCTTTATTTTTAGGCAAATCATGCCCTTTTGGTTCTCTTATGGTTGATTGTACTGAGAAGTATGTTCCTCCTTAGTGTTACTATTCATATTATACGACTATCTATTGTTTGGCTGAAAGATGATCCCCAGGGGTGGGTTCAGTTCCAGGCCTGAAGGGTGCCTAAAGGCCACAATCTCAGGGATTCCACTAGTCTCTATCAGATCAGTAAGTCTGGCCTTTCCACAATTTTGAATTTTATTCTTCTTTTTTTCTTTTTCCTTCCACTCTGTCCAGGACCTTCTATGATGATCAGTTAGTAGTGGTAGCCAGGAATCATCTAGTTCTTCTGGTCTCAGGGTAATGGAGGCTGTAGTTCATATGGCCCATTAGTCCTTTGGACTAATTACTTTAGTCTTTGATTTTCTTCACTCTTCTTTGCTCCAGATGGAAAAAGACCAATAGTTTCATCTTAGATGGCCATTTGCAAGCTTTCAAGGCCCTAACAGCTACTCAAAGTAGGATGAAGAACACTGTCTTTGTGGACTATGTTATGTCAGTTGAACTAGATGTCCTCCGAGACTGTGGTCCTAATAGGTCCCCAAGCTCAGTGACTTATTTACTCAAGATACTTGGTTATGGCTAACTTTTCAAAACTTTGCCCCCTCCCATGGTTCTACTATAATCTTGGATATATTTGCAGTACATAAAATATATATGTAAAAATATTCTTTGCCAAACCTATATATACTCATGGGCATACTTCTATTCTTCTTCCCACATCTGTTCAGCTTGCATGTCTACCTATGTACATCTACCCATAGATACTGTTTGTTATTACTATCATTGCAGGATTGTATATGTAATAGTATTTACCTTGTTGTCTTTTACTGTTGTACACCTCCTTCCATTGTCTTTCCATTGTCTTAGTGGTTTCAAACAATATTCGTCCCTTTGTTATTGATTTATTTCACTAAGCATCTTGTTAATCCATGTTATGAGGTGTTCTGCAGATTCTTCATTATTCTTTAACATTGTGTTATAGTATTCCATTGTGTGTATGTACTAGTTTATTTATCCATTCACCTGTATAGGTACTTAGGTTGTTTCCATCTTTTTGCTATTATGAATAATGCTGTGATGAACATGGGTGCGCGTGTAACTATTCACGTCACAGCTCTTACTTCTCTAGGATATATACCTAGTAGTGGGACTGTTGGATTATATGGTATGTCTATTTCCAGCTTTCTAAGGAAGTGCCATACCATTTTCCTAAGTGGTTGTATCATTTTACACCTCCGTCACCAGTGTAAGGGTACTAATCTCTTCAAACCCTCACCAGTATTTACTGTTTTCTGTTTGTTTGAACTTTGTTATCAGGGCTGAGGTAGGATGATATCTCACTGTTGCTTTGAGTTGCATTTCTCTAATGGCTAATAATCACAAGCATTTCTTTTTTTGTTTGTTAGGTGTCTGCTGTCTCCTTTGGTGAAGTATCTGCTCCTGTCCATTGCCTATTTTTTAAATGGATTGTTTGTCTTTTTGTTGTTGAGGTGTTGAAGTTTTATGTAAGTTTTAAAGATTAGTCCCTTGTCAGATATGTCAATAGCAAAAAACCAAACTCACTGCTGTCAGAGTCAAATCCAATTCATAGCAATCCCTCCTTGGGTTTCCAAGGAAGTATCTATACGGAAGTAGATTGCCCAATCTTTCTTCCAAGAAGTGGCTGATAGGTTTGAACCACCAGCCTTCTGGTTAGAAGTCAAATGCCTTAGGCATTATGCCACCAGAGCTCCCAGATATGTCAATAAACCAAAACCAAACCAAACTAACTGGTTTTTAACTGGTATTCTTTCACAATATGTCAAATAGGGCTGATGTCAACCTTCAAATTAGTCTTTTGAAAACAACAACCATTCAACCCAATTTAGAATTGAAAATGTAGAAAATTAATGTAGGAAAGACACATCCTGCTGTCAATCGCTAAACAGTAAAAGCTTTAGAGTTGGTGTTTCTTCACTCAATAGCAGTTAGCAAGATGGGCAATTAGAACTGAGTCCACATAAAAACTGATTAACATGAAAGTATTTGACTCACAGAGCTAAACAGCAGCATCATGATGGGAATGGGAGAAGCAAGAGAAGGGAGAGGAGTTTAACTCTTGATAAAAGAGCATAATCCTAACTCATCCTAAAATACTGTTAGCTTTAAAAATGTATATGTCCCAACATAATTTACTGTGACATCTTTCTATATTGAGTCTCTGTGTTTCAGTACCTCCATTTCTCCTTCTGCACAATGAGATAAGTAGTTACTCTATGTTAGTACAGAATTATGTAATATAAGAAATAGAGACCGTACTCAAGTTCAGGAGATTGCATTTTACGTTACCTTAACTGATGGTTAGGTTCTAAAGTCATCTTTTAAATACTGTTTAGTCAAAATTAGCATTACGAAGCCCTTAAATCACTTGACTTAGATCCCTGGAAACTCATAGAAAAAACTTATTTTTCTTCACATTTGTACTGAGGCTTCCTTTCTCTGGGATAACAAAGACCAAGGTCTACTTTAAAAGAGGCGGTAAGAACACTGGGTAAATAAGGCAATTTATCTCTTTTTATAAATAGCTGAATTAGCATAAGTAAAACATGCAGTTGAGGCTACCCAGAGAAAGTGGACAGACATTATTCTGTCAACATTAACAAAAAACCTTTAAAACTCTATGAGAGCAATTTGGGAAAAGTCTCTTACTTTATTACTTCATTATATCCCTACTATCTCGCAACATTGATTTCATTTGTGATTCTCCGACAAAAGATGGTGCCTTCGGGAACCAGAGTACTAATTCCAATCATAAGCAAACATTTTAAGGATACTCAATTTGTCAACTTGGAAACAACTTACCTTCTTCATCAAATATGGCCACCAATGAAGTTCTGTCAGAAGGCATGACATGCAGGCACAGACACACACTCACTCCCTCAGGCCCTGGGCCACCCCGAGGCAAAAAGGTAGCAACATTTTTCATGAAAAACCCACTACACACAAGAAAGCTCCAAACCCTATAATCAATCGGGACGAGGGTCACCTCAGCGGAGCAGCTACTAACAGGGCACAGCCATGTGCCACAGACCCAAAAACTTCTCACGAAACCAGAAATGACCAAATTAAAAGTGCGGGGACAACTACAATGAGAAGGACGGGTACAATGGGAGGCTCCAGGTACCCAAGAGAAAGGGTGACAGTTCTCAAGCGACCAGGAGACCAACGTCCAGCAAGGGAGTACAGTAGTTTAGGCTGCCGCCCTGTCTCATTACCTGACGGACGTCATGACTTCACCTTCCTGCCTCACGCAACAGCGCCCGCGTCCGATGCTCCGCGTTTGCACTGGCTGCAGCAGGTACCACTGCAACTGCTCGCGGCTCAGGCACTCCGCGACAAGGAGCGCGTCCTCACACACACCCGGCGTTCGGGCGGCCCCCGCCGAGCCGGCCCGGCGCGCTGATTGGCCGCAGCAGGAATGGGGGCGGGCGCTCCGCCCTGGGCCGAGGGCTGGAGATCATTCCTCCGCGCCGCGGGCCACGGCGAGCAGCTCTCCAGTCTCATACGCTCGCTGGCGCGCGGGCTAGCGGGCTGGCTAGCGAACGCGGTGGCCATCTTGAGTCCTGGTACCGTTACCCCATCTCGGCTTACAAGGCACGAGGTTCGGTGCCCGCATCAAAAATGGCCGCTCCCACTGGCAACTGGTTTAATAGTCACATGGTCACGGTCTGCCGCGGCAAGTTCAGGTCGCTTTAACAGGACTTGGGAAAGGGATGCTGGCCAGAAAAACTAGCCACTGGCAGGCTAGATCTTCATTTGCAGAAAAAAATTGCCTGGGAAACCTTCAATTGGGGAAAACCAAACATTTCGCAACTGCAGCAGAGTATGCTAAATTCGAACTCGCAACTTTTAAGAGTCAATTATTTATTCTGTTGATTTCCAAAGGTTCTTGGATATCAGAAACAGCTGCTCTTGTTAGGTGCCATTGAGTCGGCTCCGACTCATAGCCACCCTATGTACAACAGAAGAAACAATGCCAGGTCCAGCACCATCCTCACAATCCTTGCTATGCTTGAGTCCATTGTCGCAGCCAGTGTCAATTCATCTCCTTAAGGGTTTTCCCATTTTTCGCTGACCCTCCACTTTACCAAGCATGATACCTTCTCCAGGGAATGGTCCCTTCTGACAATATGACCAAAGTAGGAGAGACGTAGTCTCATTCTCACTTTTAAGGAGCATTCGGGTGGCACTTTTCCAGGGCAGGTTTGTTCCTCCCTCTGGTAGTCCATGGTTATTTTCAGTATCTTTCACTGACACAATTCAAAGGCATCAACTCTTCCTTGGTCCCCTAAGGCACTTGACTGCTAACCAGAAGGCTGGTGGTTCAAACCCACCAACCACTCCTCGGAAGGAATATGGGGCAATCTATTTCCATAGTGATACTGCCTCGGAAACCCAAGGAGGGGTCGCTATGAGTCTGGTCCAACTCCACAGCACATAACAACAACAACAATTCACTGTCCAGCTTTCAGTTGCATATTGAATTATGCAATTGAAAATACCATGGTTTGGGTTAGGTGATGGAGCTCTGGAGCCTAGTGTTGAAACCATTTGGCTTCTGCGAAAGTGACAAAGCAGTTCGGAAATAGCTAAAACAGCTTATTTAATATGGAAGTGTCAGGCCCACTTTAAACATAGTGAGTCAAAATCTGGAAAAGTGAAGCACATCATGGGTATTTTTAATACGTTTACATATGGTCCAGGTACAGGTTTGAATCTCAGGTTTTAAAACCAGGAACCTGCCTGTGCTGTGCTAAAACTAACCTCAACTTCCTATTTGTCACACTTAATTGTCAGATTACCACACTTTTCTAAGTGGCATGAAGTACCAGGCAAGCATCTAATACCATAAAGGTACCCAACTCCAAGCCCTAACCTTTTAATTTGTTGTTGTTATATGTCTTGGTCTAGTGGAATTTTGTGAGGTTAATTAGATTGTGAACCAATGTAAAGGCAAGCAAATTAATTCCAACTGGGGGGGGGAGGGGGGGTAAAAAATCAGTAAAGGCTTTAAGACCTAAATAACTTGTTTATTCTCTATTTTATTCCCTGTATAATACTATTTATTATGTTCACAGACTGCTACCTCCAGTGGCATTTATTTACTGACCATACAGCATGGTGATCAATTTCACAGGTCTGAAATCAGTTACATCAAAAACAGAGCTCCACATCAGCATGCTGTGATATTTATAAATTCTTAACACCTGCTGATTGGAAATAATGGACATTTTCACATTTCTAGGCCTTTAAACTCAACACTTGGGAGCTCTGCTAGCATAGTGCCTAAGGCACTTGACCGCTAACCAGAAGGCTGGCGGTTCAAACCCACCAGCCACTCCTCAGAAGGAAGGTTGGGCAATCCTACTTCTGTAGTGATACTGCCTCGGAAACCCAAGGAAGGGTCGCTATGAGTTGGGGCCAACTCGACAGCAAACACTCGGAAGGAAGGTTGGGCAATCCTACTTCCGTAGTGATACTGCCTCGGAAACCCAAGGAGGGGTCGCTATGAGTCGGGTTTGACTCGACGGCACATAACAACAACAAAGACAGCAAACGACAACAACACAACAAACTCAGCACTTAATGATATTAGAATATTTTAGATTTCATGGTGATTTCCAAAGTTCTTCATAGGCTGTGCTGTAGGAGCTCTGGTAGCATAGTGTAGCATAGTGCCTAAGGCACTTGACTGCTAACCAGAAGGCTGGTGGTTCAAACCCACCAGCCACTCCTCGGAAGGAAGGTTGGGCAATCTACTTCCATAGTGATAGTGCCTCAGAAATCCAAGGAGGGGTCCACATGTGGCCATTGAGCACTTGAAATTATTTTTCCATTAAACACAATTCATTGTTTTGATTGGCCTATACATGCCATTTTAACCACTGAAAATTCAGCATACAAATGAAGATGCTGTAGTACTTGTAAAATACACACCAGATTTTTCAAGATTTACTGTAAGAACAAAGAATATAAAATATCTCAGCAATAATTTTTGTTGTTGATTATGAGTAAAAGCTGTTAAAACACTGAGCTGTACTTGGTGTGGTGAGACTTTGAACACATGTCCACAAACCAAATTACTCAATTGTTCCTCTGGATTGAAACAGGATCTGAATCAAAGCAGCAGCTGGAGAGAAGTTTGAAGCAGCAGAAACACTGATTCAACATTTTCCCCCTCCTATTGTGAAAAACGTTAATAGATAATCCACATGGGCTAAAGTCAGACCAGGAATAATTCTTTGAAATTATTTCAAAAACTCAGTGTAACTTTTAATATGGGAGGTAGTATGGTATAAAGCAGTGCTCTTAAATTTTACAACGCATACAAATTACTTGTGGGATCTTGTCAAAATGCAGGTTTGATTCAGTCTGGAGGCAGACATTTTGCATTTCTTCATGTTCCCAGCTTTTCCCAATTGTTCTGGCCTGTGAGCCAGGCTGAATTGTAAGAGGTAAAGGAAAAAAACAGGACACATCTTGTTGAAACACCACCCCAACCCCCCATACCCCTACTCCCAACCCCAGCTGTATAACATTGCTACATGCTGTAATAACATTGGGCTAGTTCTTAACCAATCTGTCCCTCAGTTTACTCATGGCATGCTTTTCAGGACACTGTGAAGAGTAAAAATTAAATGTAGTAAAGTGTCTAATAGTATGCTTGGCATGTGGCATAGTTATTACTAGTTAAATCACATCTCTTGCCAGTGTGATAACGAAAGCTAACAGCTAACATGAACTTAGCCCTATGAAAAACAAAATGCACTTTTGCTCATGCTTAACATATTTTAGTAATTCCTACTTTTAATTTTTAACAATAAAGTTTAAAAACAACTAATTTTTGTGCCAAAACAGCCAGACAGCTAGGCTAGAAATGTTAGTTATTTTATTAATAAATATACTGAATCTGTGTAATTAATGGAAGATACGGGTCTGCAATATTCAGGTATTTAGTCAAACTAAAGTCACAACACATTCAAAGATAAAGAATATTTATTTATTTAGATTTTTGTCTAACTTAACAAAAACTTTAAATATGGTTCTTACTCATAATTAGTCAATACAACTTTCAAAAACTTTATTCTCTTAAAATGGATTTAGGTATTAGTTGTTACAGTAGATATGGACACAAAAATATTATTTCAGCAAGCAGGGCTCATGTGTGATCTTTCAAAATCAATCAGGTAGGTATAAAAAGTAAAAACTTGTTTTTTCAGGTAAAGGCAATTCTTTTTATTCATCAAATCTTCCCTTGCTCAGCCTTTCATTTTCATCCACTTTTCTTAATATTCTCTCTGTTTCTCTCTCTCCTCTGTTTTCTCTCTCTCTCTCTCTCTCTCTCACACACACACACACACACACACATTTAGCTACTGAATAACTACTACTTAAAGTCTTCTAATCAATTTTCTAGGTAATTTATTCCAACTCTGTTCTTTTCCTAAAGGCCTACTTACCCCACAATTTTAGGGAAAAGGAGTCAATTGAAATTTTTAACCTTTGTTAACCTTCCTACAATTTAAATAGCTGAATCAAGATAGATAAGTGGGTCATTTTACTCTGCCCTAGAAAAAACTGATTATTCTATCTACTTTATCTAATCATGAGGTTAGTGTGCTCCTATTAAAGCAAATAGATAGCTAATCCCAAATAGCTACATAAGAAGCACCCTCATACACTGTTAGTGGGAGTATAAATTAGTACATTTCTAGAAAGCTTTTTGGCAATGCGTATCAGTGATTCCATTTCTTAAGTGACTGTTGTAAGGAAAATACATCATTGTGAACAAAGATTTGTATACCAGTTGTTTCAGCATTACTAAATGCAAAATATATATATATATATATATATATATATAACCAAAATAAATGTACTGGTTGAATAAATTTCAGAAGAATGTTATGGAGCTATTACGAAATGTTTCCAAAGACTTTTTAAGAACATAGGGAAATGCTCAACATATAATGTTAAATTAAAAAATCAAAACTAATGAAATATACCATATGATCTTAACTGTATTTTAAAAATAAAGCTACCTGCCATATATGCATAGAAAATAGACTGGAAAGAAACATACCAAAAGGTTATTAGTAATTTATCTCTGGGATTAGGATTATGTGTGATTTTTACTTCTTTATATACTGATCTAGTTTATAAATTTTCTATTGTTATATTGGTTTTATAGTTATCAATTTTTGTAATTATTAAATTTTAATTATTTTTTAAGGGGCTTCAAAATGCAAACATGCCTGCTCTTTTTTTCATTTTGAAATCTCAACCATCAAAATTACCCTTATTGTTAGAGACTAGGAGTAATACATGTTTCATGTTTTCATTTGTAAAGATTCTTTATGACAAGAATAACAAAAATAAAATGTCTTGATAATTTTCTTCATTA